CAATTTACATACAAACAAGCAAACAGTAATTTATGCCAAACAAGACAACATACAGCATCGGTTTCTCAGTCATTCAACCCATAATCAATAAAATAGTAAAATATGCACACGAAACAATGAAATGAAAACATCAGACCTCATACTGCATTTAAAACTGTAAAATATGCCAAATAACAATTAACCGACAAACACACTAGACTCGGGCTCCATTAGCGACCTTAAGCAATTGCACACATTCGTTGATTCAAGAAATACCGTTTTATCATTATTGAACTTTAATACCGTGATAGGAAATAGGGTGAGGGGTCCTTACTCGTTTCGGGGTCCGAACACGGCTTCACAGTGCGCCTACAGGCTGTCCCTAATTTTTCCTGAATTTTTTCCGGGGAACTGAAACGCACTACTGGTACTTGCACGTGTTCCAAAAATCCCAAATTAGGCCTAGGGCCCCTTTTTGGCCAATATCGCAATTCCGGCACGACGGCTCCGTCGTGCTCCGGCGACGGCGCCGCCGCAAGCGGCGGCGATTCTCCTCGGGTTAGCCGTTTTCGGCCAAATTCAACCACACTTGCATCGGTCCTTACGATAAAACAACCCTAGGGCCCTCGGGGGGCGAAAAAATTACGGAAAACCGAAGCTTACCGGCGGCGGTGCTCTCGGGTGCGGCGGCTCTCCGGTGAGGTTCGTGTTTTGGTGATTCGGCTCCGATCAACCTGTAAAGAAAAGAATGGTGATCACGGTAATATAAAAATTGCATCAAACGGAGGCCGGGAAGGGCCTCATCGGAGCAAAAACCGAGGAGGGGCACAGCGGCGCCGCTGGGTTTCGGCCGTGTTTTCCGGCCGTTTGGCCAGGATTTTGGCTCCAATTTGGCTACAGAGGAAATCAGCGTGGAAAAACGAGTCGGAGGTATGAAATTTACCTCGATCGGCGGTCGAAAATCTCCCCAGTGCGGCAGCGGGTGGCGGCGGCCGGCTTCTCCGGCGTCTGGTTCGTCTTCTCCGGCGAGGGCAGGCGGCTAGGGTTTTTGTGGTCAGGTGTGGGGGTTCTATTTATACCCTTTTGCCTTTTGATCTCAGCCGTCCATTTTGATTTAATCTGGGCCGTCCGTGCGCACGCTTGATCTGGGCCGTCTGATCGCGCGTACGCGGATCCCTAACGTGGCCCGTCCCCGGTCGACGTGTTCTTGCCACGTAGCAAGTCCTGGTTGGCCAAGACTGCTGACTGGGTCTGCTGACGTGGTTGCTGACGTGGCGCTCTTTTTTTTTTTTTTACTTAATAAAAATACTTAATAATAAAATACAAATTTTCCGGGCGTTACAGATACCCTTATTATACATACAAATTTGTAACTATTAATGTAACGATCTCAGAATGTCCAAATAAATAAATTATAATTTAAGTGCAAAAGAGAAATAAATTGTTAAGATTTACATTTCTTACACAATAACTTAAAGTACCAAATAATATTACAGAAATTACCTTTTTAAAAGAAATATAACAAAATAAGGAAATAAGCGAAAAATAAATAAAACAAGCATCCTACTCGTAACCCTCTTGTGGATCAGGCTCTGGAACCTAGTCTTATTGATATGAAATAGTTAAATAAGGAATGAGCTACACTATCCCAATAAGAATATCACGCCAACTTACCAACACAGAAATGAAGGTTGGT